GTAACAATTTTGATTTAATTATTGTGATTCAGGAGTTTGTGAAGGTGGAGATGAGATCATTGTTTATGGGATTGACTATCAACAACATCATTAGGATGGTGGCCGGAAAGCGCTTCTACGGTGATGGAACAGAGGATGATGATGAAGCAAGGCATGTGAGACAGTTGATTGCCGAGGTGGCTACTAGGGGCGGTGCCGGGAATGCTGCGGACTATTTCCCTATCCTCCGTTGGATAACGAATTACGAGAAACGGGTCAAGAAGTTGGCAGCTCGGATTGACGGGTTTTTGCAAGGTCTAGTGAACGAGAAACGTGCGGAGAAAGAAAATGGTAACACTATGATCGATCACTTGCTTTCTCTACAAGAAACTCAGCCTCATTACTACACAGATGTCATCATTAAAGGAATCATACTAGTAAGTAATTAATAATGAGCCATCAGAATAGCAAATATCAATTTGAGTTTTTATTCTAGTTCAAATTGTTTTTTGTTGCGGATTAGGTTATGATATTTGCCGGGACCGACACATCAGCAGGAACGTTAGAATGGGCCATGTCGAATTTATTGAACCATCCGGAAGTATTAGAGAAGGCAAAGGCTGAAATCGACACGCAAATCGGTTTAGACCGGTTAGTAGAGGAACAAGACATTGCCAAACTTCCTTACCTCCAGAGCATTGTGTTAGAGACTTTACGACTTTATCCTGTGGCTCCAATGCTTCTCCCTCACTTGGCGTCAGAAGATTGTACCGTGGCAGGCTACGATGTTCCACGTGGCACGATAATATTGGTGAACGTATGGGCCATACATAGAGACCCAAACATGTGGGAAGAGGCAGAAATGTTCAAGCCAGAGAGGTTTGAGAAGGAAGGAGAAGATAAAAAATTGATGTCTTTTGGGATCGGACGACGAGCATGTCCTGGATCAGGGTTAGCTCAGAGGCTAGTGACCTTGGCTCTTGGGTCACTGGTCCAATGTTTCGAGTGGGAGAGAGTGGGAGAAGAATACGTGGACATGAGAGAACGTGAAAAAGGAACCATCATGCTCAAAGCTACATCGTTGCAAGCTATGTGCAGAGCTCGTCCCATTGTCCATAAGATTTTCGATGCTTCTTCTTGTCCATAAATTTCGTATTTTCATGCGAACTTTATTCCTAGAAAAAACACGACCTATTTTGTTGCTTACTCGTTACAACAACATTAAATATATTTAGAAGATAAGATAGTTTTCGTATCGTATTTTTGTTTGAAAAATAATTTAATCAAAGTTAAAAGTCCTCATCCTCTACCCTAAAGAGAGGCTGTTGTGTAGGAACACACAATCCGTGTCAACAAAGAGAGGCATCCTGGTTAACTCAAGGCGGGTAATTAAAACTAAAAGTACGATGTAAGTCATAACTTGATCTTGTCGTAATCGTTAAGTTTGAAAAAACATGAGCTAAAGATGAAGCAGGCAGCAGATAATATATATGTAAAATCCCAGATACCAGAGAACCATGAGGTGTCAAAGTTCAGTGACTGTCGGACTCGTTTCCTGAGTCTATGTTCATCGGGTGAGGGTTCTTGTAATCACTAATCTCGTCCTTGTATCGCTTCTTGTCAACTTGCGCTTTGGCTTCGTATGGCTCTTTTTCCTCGGCTGCAGTTTTTACATAAAAACACACATAAACCACATGCACAAGCTAAGCTACGACCAAAGAAATGAAGTTTTCTAGGGAAGATTTGAAGTTTTACCAGACATCTGACGCCACTTATCTCCAAGCACCTTCCCCACCTCTCCAAATGCAATTCCTGGATGAGTCTTCTTTATGTTCTGTTCAATTCACCAAGAAAAATGATATTACAACAACGTTTGCTCACCGCAAAATGCTTAATCTAAATTTGTTGGATAAATAAGTTCAGTAAAATGTAGTTACTATCCATACTCTAGTCTAGATGCAAGAGTTAACGTAAAACAAAGGAGCGGAGAACTCACATCTCTTTCCATTTGGGAGAAGAACATGAAACCAGACATTGCTCTTTTTGGCGCATTAGGATC